CTAGTCCCCTACCGGCAAGTGTAATCTGGTTCCCCTTTAAGAATTTAAAATGCCATAATTCTGTCAAAAATCAATGAAGCGGGACGAAATGCAAACTTGATCTATAACTAATCAAGGTAAAGTTATATACCAAAAATCAGCTCAATATCTGCAAGCGTTTAGGAAAAAAGTGCGGAAAACCAAGTGGGACAGACTGACAGACAGACAGAGGGACAGACGGACAGACAGACAGACGGACGGACAGACTCAGAGGAAACCTATAGTCCCCTCCGGTTTCACCGGTAGGGGATTAATAATACTTTATTTAGAGAAGGTAGCCTGATTAGTGTGACACACTATTCTTCCCCAGGGCCTTCTAATTACAACAATATTACACATGTACATCAAAGTAGCAAAGATTAACAACTAGCAATTGAAAAATAATACACAATGTCACATGATAATAATGACAATCATCATGATAATAATAATAAACAAATATATTATGATGACAAATAAATTAATATACATTTGTAAGATTTGACACAATATACATATACAAAAGATATAAATCAGAGTAATGAAATTCTGTTGTTGAAGATATACTTTTATACATTTCGTTTAAAGACTGACAGAGTTGGTGCACATCTTAAATCTAAAGCCAAATATGAACACCAGAATACTGGAGGGAATTTTTAAACAAATTAGTTCGGTGTTTTGGAAGGCGAATGTCAAAATTAGATTCTGAACGTAAAGTGTAAGCATCAAAAGTTTGAAAAATAAATAAATCTTGCAGGTAAGCAGGGCTCTGATTGTTAAATATTTTGTACAACAAGATACATTTGTGAAAAGTTACTAAATCAAAAACAGATAGACAGCCTAATTTTTCAAATAATGCCTTAGATGGAGCATCAGGGGCAGCATCAAGAATAATTCTAGCGGCCCGTTTCTGGAGCTTATGAATTCTCTCCAAGTAACTAGCTGGTGCATTACCCCAGACCGTCAGACAATAATTAATAGAAGGCAGGATAAAGGCATTGTAAAACAGTTTTCTAGTTTTCAGAGGAAGACATTTCTTGATTTTTCGCAAGGTATATAATTTATATGTTAAAGATTTGCAGACTGAGTCAACATGGTCATGAAAATTTAGCGTTTGATCTATATGTACCCCAAGTAGTTTTTCTGTTTCAACATTGTCAAGGTGTTTGTCAGAGACATGTAAATTGAGATTTGGATTATTCAATTTCGATTTTCTTTGTTCAGTGCAACTTAGTCGAGGCGCTGAGCCCCACAAATGGCTGCACCGACCGTCTGCCGAGCTGGTCGAGGGAGCCTGCCGGCTGGCCTGCGCGCTGGGCCCCTCGATTATTTCATATTAACAACATGTCTAAACATTGATACCTATACGTACATACATATATACAAATCTAATATGAAAACCCCTGCAGCTGCCCCGGGTAGAAAGGTGGGTGCGATAGCCTCAGTACACCATGATTTCTCTAAATATCTGCATCATCTGATTAACAAACCATAAATCTGTTACTTTATTACTGTTCTCTTTGAAAGATTTACCTGTTTGCTCTATTTTCCGCCGCAAATCTCAGCTGCTGTTGTCACATCCTTTTATGTAAACAACATTCCCTTTCACTGAGTGCAAGCGCTTCACAGAAGCCGAGTGCAGCCAAACGACACAATAAAAAGCGATTTATTTCGACATGTTATTCTAAACAAGAGAAAATAACTACATCTAATTTATTTAAACACAAGAATACGGATATCTGTTACAAATTCTTGCAATTGTCGTTAAATAGCTATTTTGAGCTCTAATTCCTTATATAGATATATCAGGGCGGAGCGACTGTCATGACGTCAAACCTCATTGTGACCTCTTTACCATAAATAAATCATGGGTAGCCTTAACTGTACCGCGAATATTCCCATATTTATTCTTGTAATGTGCAGAGATATTGGCAATAAAATTAAGAGGTAATAAAAAAATCAAGGGTATTAGAATTGGAAATGAAATGCATCTAATATCGCAATTTTCAGATAACACCTCTCCTTTTCTAGGTGGAACTATAAAGACCTCAGAAACAACTTTACAGGAGCTTAATGATTTCAAAATTTTGTCTGGTTTAAAAGTTAATTATACGAAAAGTCAGGTTATTTGGATTGGTAGTAAAAGGTTGTGTTAGAAAAGTTAATGAATAATACAGAGCTGATTTGGGAAAGTAAATCCTTGCAAGTTCTTGGAACAGAATTTAATGAAAAAATCAGTTGTTACTCAGGAATATGTGAATGGAGGATTGAAACTGGTTATTGTTGAACATTTTAATGCAAGCATGAAAATATCATGGATTAAAAAAATAGCAAAAGATAAGCCAAATGGCGGTCTGTTATAGGGGCAGATGTTGATATTTCCCTAGTGATTAAATTTGGACCAAGTTATGCTTTGCAGAGAGTTACAAAGTGTAAAAAATCAGTTTTGGACTGATGTTTTTAAGTCATGGAGACAGCTTTGCACATGCTATGAAAAAGAAAACATTGGCAAAGAAATGTGCAAAAATGTTACATGGTTTAATGAAAATATTAAAGTGAATAAAAAGACTATTTTTATAAGATCATGGTATGAAAATAATGTTTATACTGTTAACTCATTGTTGGATGAAGATGGCAA